TGGGTGATGAGGAACACAGCTTTGACCTTTCCCCCAGGGGTCTTTAATTCCAGTCAGAGGTAAAACACATGCTAGAAATGTCCAGGCCAATATGGAAAGGCTTATGTGCAGCTGGCTTTGGGATATACAAACACCAGGAAATCCCCAAACCCTGCCATGACACTATGAAACCAGATTAACTGCTCATGTGCGTTTCTCTAATAGAACACATTTGCACCTTAAGAAATACAGTTTGTGCTTATTTCAAAAAAAAAAACAACCTATTAGTCCAATTTAAATTTAGAAATGATACCTCCCCTACAATATTGCAAGCACTGATTCAGGCAGTCCTACCTATATATCTGGATCAAAAATGCCATTAACGTATTTATTCTGGTTTTCTGAATACTTCACAACTGGATCACCAAAAACATGCTATGAAAAAAGTTCAAAGAAAATATATCCAGCATTTTTTTTATTCAGATGTTTAAGCTCAACAAATTTAAAATAATCTACAAATAGTTTGAAACCACACACACACACACACACACACACACACACTCTTCTCAGATGGACTTTGTGGAAATTAAAGCAAAAGCCTTCCCCTCAGGAAGATGAGAGAACACATGGAAGAATGTACAGCCAAACACAAAAGCTGAGTGTCTATGCCGAGTTGGCACTGAGAGGATGTGAGCAACTGCCTGTCCTCGTCCCTGGAAAGGAGGGAGAAGAGGTTGGCCTATGAGATCATGGTTATTTATAAGATCTGAATAGAATGCACTTTACATAAATTCACTGTGGAAAGAAAAAGCTAGAAAAATAGGTACTGTTCAACACACTGTAAAAACAGAAATAAACCAAAGAATCTTAAATAAGATCATGAACTTTGGAGTCTGTATCAGTTTCCTACTGCACACAACAAACGACCTCACAGTTACAGGCTTAAAACAACACACATTTTTTAGCCCACAGTTCTGTAGGTCAAAAGTCCTGGCATGATGTGACTGGATTATCTGCTCAGAATGTTACAAGACTAAAACCAAGACATCGGATGGAATGTATTTCTTTCCGGAAGCTCTGGATAAGATTCTACTTCCATGTTCATTCAGGTTGTTGGTCAAATTTAGTCCCTTGCAGTTGTAGGACTGAGGCCCCTGTTTTCTTGCTGATTTGTCAACCTTGGCACACTCCTTGCCACATGGTCAGCAATGGAGAAACCTAACCAGGGAGAGGGGGATGCCTGGTTTTTTGTGGCTTGGACAAGGTCCATGTTCATGTTTTGTCTCATGTAATCATGCTCAGATGTGATTAAAAACTTGTTTCTGTTTTGATCTGTCATGTTCACAAAATGGCCTTGTGTGACATTGATGTCCCATGATATCATTTATGTTCAATGACAGAACAGCAGGCCTAGCTGAGAAGGCCTGGCCAGCTCCTGTATGGAAGGGCTGTCTTTCTCTGTCTCTGCGGGATCATGGGACATGGGGCCAAAAGAGTGGTGCTGAGGTGCAGAATTTGGGTGAATCTCATCCATGTTACAGGTAGGACAAACCTGGGACTCTGGGTTACTGATGATTCATGGCAGATCCTTCGGTCTGAGCTGGCGTGTGGACTGCTATGTCAGTTCTAAGCCATCCATGCTCCAACCATGGTGTCACCTCCCATTCCACAGGCCCAGATAGAGTATATCGTGTGCTAAATCCTGGGTGCCCCCACTGCTGGCACCAGCATGGCCACCGCACCACCGCCTGTGCCCCACAGGCTCTATGTTACTTGTTGGGCAGTCCTCTGCTGGGGGTGGCTGTGCTTATCTCCTCCGAGGCTCTCCAATGAGACATCAGTGCTTCTGAGATACTTATGAGAGGTATCTGCCTTGCTTCAATGTGGTGATATCATTGCTCCCCCAAAACCATGCTAGATTAGACAGGCATACCTATGTGAGTAGGGCCACTTTACCCGTGGCCCCCACCTATTCTCCTTTGGCGGTGATGTGCGCAAGGTAGGGGCATGGTCGTTATTGAAAGAGATCACATTTTAGGAATGCAGTTATTATGGCCTAAAGAATTCTAGAGAGGTCATGGTTGGAAGACGTGTTATTCAATGTTTATGCTATGAAATTCCTAACAGTAACTTTAACATGAGCAGAAAAAATACATTTACATTCTCCCACATACTCTTGGGAAGACCTGTACTTGCGTTCATCATCAACAAAGCACAGTGACAACTTTTGAAAGAGTCTTTGGAAGCCAGTCCTCATGGACAGCATACGGACAATGCAGCATCTTGAACAATGATGTAACAAATATTAAGTAAATGATTAGGGAACTGCAGAGGCAAGATTTTATGTTATTTCAATCAAATATTCTGAAAAGCATTGTCAGCTGCTACTTTTTTCTCATCCTGGGATATATGAAGTTAGCCAGGGCAGCACATTTGACAATTAAGAACATAAACAGATGATTTCCGAACTGGAACAGGGAGAGATGGTGCCTGGACACTACAAAGACCTTTCCTATGCATAGCTGAGAAACTACACAAAAACATGACTTCTCCACCCGTTACTCTAAAATCTTCATTGAATTCTTGCTTGAATTGCATAACACACTTTTAAATCCAAATGTTTATGTTGACAACCGCCCCAAAGAAAATGTTTTCCAGAGTACCATACACCCTAGGGGAAGCGTTGCAAGGAAGGCTTCCTAAAGAAGTGATGCTTAAGAGGTGAAGGAACGATCAGAAATTAAGTGGACAAACTGGGGAGAGAAGATTGTTCCAGATGGAGAAAACAGCATGAGCAAAGGTTCTGCGGTGGAGAGGACAGGGTTGGTTAGTGTGAGGAACTAAATAAACAATAAATTCTAAAGGATAGTCAGTTGGTCCTGATAATAGTCTCTGGTTCCCACTCATCAAGAAACTGGTAAAAAACCTTAATCAGTATATGCCCGATACTTCATCTGTGTGTTCCACATGGTTATTGTTCCCCATAACTCCCCAAACCTGTTCCCCCATCTCTGTTTCTTTCCTGGGGCTTTGATTACTCATAGGAGATAGTTCTTTGTCTTTGCTTAATGACTACAAAGGAGAGAGATGCAGCTCTCAGTCCTTCTCAGGTGAAAAAGCATGCTCAGATCTCATTCACAGATGTAGTTTCTCCTTAGAATCAAAGATAGTTCTTTGTCTTTGCTTAATGACTACAAAGGAGAGAGATGCAGCTCTCAGTCCTTCTTAGGTGAAAAAGCATGCTCAGATCTCATTCACAGATGTAGTTTCTCCTTAGAATCAGAGTTCTTCTCCTGTCAAGGTCATGGATGAACATTTTTAAATGCCTGTGGTGCAAAGAGTGACTTCTTGCTTAATGAAAGAGGTGGAACAAACCCCTTGTTCTGTAGAAAGTTGCATGCAGTGACATTCCTCTGTGACAAAGTTAATGCTTCCTCTGGCAACTTTGTACCCAATATTGCATGGACTGCATTAGCTTTTCTTGAAAGCTAAAATTACAATAGAAATTAACATAAAGTATAGGGGAAAGCAGCATAAGTAGGCCTAGGGTCTAGCATCTTTCCTTTTAGACTTTATAGGGTTTTTGTCTAGATGGTTCTGAATCTCTTTTATCCCAATGATTTGTCCCAAGCTTTAATTCCATTTGCTTTTTTCTTTGGTAAAAACAAATCTCAAGTGTCTTTGCTGTGTGCCTACCAGAGAAACAAAGGAAATCATATGAAAGGTGTCACCTTGACATAGACCCAGCCATTCTGAAGAAGGAGAAAGGGACCGAGGCTGGAGGTAGGATGGTAGTAATGGGAACGGGGGTCATCAGCTGTGACACACTCACACACCCCACATTGTGACAGCGTCTCCTCCAGTAAGTTTCTTTTTATTTATACCACCTCTCCCCCAGTCTCTCAGCCTGTCTACAATTTAACAGAATACATGCATTTTTTTTCTAACTTAGCCTCAGGGCCAACACCCAACAGACTGAAGGAAACAGCCAGGGCCTGGGATGCTCGAGTTTGAGACCAGCAGGAGAGGGCATCTGAACCGGGCTCAGGGCTGGCGCTTCCGAGGGTATTTGTAGAATAAAAGTAGAAGGAATACTCAACTCTTTAAAGCACTGCAAGTGTCTTACATTTATATTCTCAAAACCCAAAAATGTTACCTCAAAAATAAACTCAGTAAATGTTTTGTGATGATGTGCTTTTTGCCAGTTTGGTGATAAATGCCTTAGAGAGAATGATGTTGATAGAGATGGCAATGATCCTGGTGAAGAAGCCAAAGTCAGAGAAAGAAAAAGAAAAGATCCTGCTCCATGTGAGAGTCTTCTCAGCTATGGCTCTAAGTCAAGAGCGTATTTTGGGTGAAATATTTCATTTCGTGGATAGAAGGGGAAAGGCAGAGGAATGACACATGTGTCTCTGCGAATGGGTCAAAGGGTAAGCAGCATTCAGTGGAAACAAGGAGGTGCGATGAGTGCCAGTTGTATGTCAAATGATTCGCAAGCACTGCTCCATTTAATCCACTAAGTTACTCAGGGCCTTGGTATTCAACACCAACTTGTCCCTTTGAAACTGAGATTCCTGGATGTTGGACTTTCCCAAGGTCATTCTACAGGGAAGGGCTGGAGTTTGCAGCAGGGTCTTCTGTCTCAGTTGCTGAAACTCGCCTTTCTGGAAAGCAATTGATGATTTATTCTGATGGAGACGAGTCCAAGCAGTATTTATGTAAGACAGAAATCCAGATTCCTTCCAAACAGCACTATTACCTGCAGCCAGTTGTATGCACAGACGTCTTCACTGCCATCCAGGCAGATCCGATCGCGTACTTTCCAAGTGCTTCCCTGCCAGCGAATGCTGCCCTTCCTTGGCAGAGAAGAGCAGGGCAGCCTGCAGCAACTAGTGGGACACAACTCTTGGTTTCTCAGCTCCCAGGCCCCAGAGAGGTCACTAGACCATAAAGCTGGAGGGATCTCTGGCCTCTGGGAAATGCTGCTCTTTAACCAAACTGGAAAGATCATGTCTACCTGTTTATTGACAGTCAGATAAGGAAATGCCACTGATCCCCTTGACAATTCATCTTGGTCAGTCAGGAAGCTTTTCCCCAAATGGCACTAGCAACAAAAAATAGAAAGGATAGTTATTAACCTCAACATAGGTATTCCAGATAGTAATATAATCTGGCCTTTCATCTTAACTAAAAGGGAAATGGCAGAGACAAAATTAAAGAAATGAGAAATGAAAGAGGCACTGCCCGTGGGTGCTTTAGCTTAGCATTTTCATGGCTCTGGACCTGGACCTCTATCAGGCAAAACTTCATCTTAACTAAAAGGGAAATGGCAGAGACAAAATTAAAGAAATGAGAAATGAAAGAGGCGCTGCCCGTGGGTGCTTTAGCTTAGCATTTTCATGGCTCTGGACCTGGACCTCTATCAGGCAAAACAGGTCTCTTCTGGGAGGGTGAGCCCCAGCTTCCCTGACAGGAGGTTGAGTGCTTCTCACTGATCCATGAGCACATGTACGGCAAATACATCTCATTACACAAGACTAAGGTAAATAAAATTGCTTCCAATATTTTTTGGATGGATATTGTGGGAGGCCATTGAGAAACAGAAGCCAGATTTCACACATATTTAATTTTTTAAAAAATTTGAACAGTATTAAGCTTTCCCACACATCCATATTGGCTTAAAATCCATAATGTTATGATTCAAAGCACTTTTTTTTAACTTAGTGATTCTAAATATGTTTATTAAAAGAAATGTATTATGCATTGACCTTTTACATTTTTCTAACTTTATTGGATTTTAATAGCAGAAAAATATTTAATAGACAGGAACTTTGCACGATCAGACATGGGAATTCATCAGATCAAATCTGTTTTTGTATTCCCCTTGACACACTAGCACTAATATCTAACTAGAACTGTTGTGACTCTTTAAGGATTCTTGAATACTAATTGTATTTTCCCTATTTTGTTAGATGACTTTTGAGGTAATAGCTGAAGTTGTGGAATCAAACAGAGCCGAGATCAAACAACTTACGAACTCTTTGCACTTGGGTAAGTTATTTTACCTCCCTGAGCTTCGGTTTCCTCATCTGCTAAGTAGGGATAAAAATAAATACTTCATTAGATTGTCCTGAGGAATGTCACATAGCAGGTGTTCAATAAATGGTAGCTTATTTTTATTACTGTTGTTGTTATCATTATTTTCCTCCTTTTATTAATCTTTTCTGCTGGAAAATAAATTCTCACTCCCACTTCTTATGTTTTCACACATTGAAATTTTACCTGTTATCCAATGTCCTTCCTCAAGTACGTGCTCCTCCTGGTGTCTTCTTCAGTCCCCTCGGCTGGAAGTGAATTCTCCATAATCTCATCCTATACCACTTCCTCTGCACACCTGTGTAGCACTTGTCACTTATGACATTGTGCTGTAGTTTCTTTTTGCCCAAATCTTATTATCCTAATTAGAATGACAGCCTCTGGAGGGCAGAAAGCAAACTGTTTGGGGTTTTTTTTCCCCTGTAAAATACTTTTGAATGTGTGTTGAATGAATATTAGAGTAGTGCTCTGTTTTGTTTTGCATTATTTGTTAAATTCAAAATAATTATTTTTCATTTTAGTATTATTTAAAAATTTTAGTATTTAGATACTTCAATATTGTAAATATTTTTCATCCTGAAGTTACAACAAAATAGTTGAAGTCAGGATGAAAAATATGTTGCAGAAAAGTCTTGCTCTTTTGCTCTAGCAGGGCCCTGTAACTGTCTACCTCTGAATCCCTGTAAGTATACATAATTCCCTCCAGAGCTAGGTGGTAATGCTTTCAAAATAACCAGCAATTCAGCCATGAAAACTCCAGCCTTTCTCCTTTTTCTGCTTCAGTTTTCTGACCTGTAGAATGAGGGGAGGGGGGATATGATCACATGATCTTTTCTAAAAATTTCTACTTTATTTTTTAAATAAGAGCATTAAACTTGTTAATCTTGTGACTTCCTTCCCGTGGTGTGAGTCTTTGTTACCTTTTCTTTTCCAGACTACACAGGATCCCAATAAGAAAAACAAAAATTAATTTCCAGGCTTTGCATTATTCAGAAATCTCCCAGCTACTTCTGAGAATTCCCCTAGGGTTTCTCATATGTATTCATAAATAAGTTGCTCTCAACTCCCTAAGGATCCCATTGCTGTTTTTCTTTAATCTAGACACATCTTCAGTTGTTCCTATTTCTCATGAAGCTGCCTGTGCTGCTGGGGCCTCACTGTTTTTGGAACAGAAATTTTTACCTTGGCTTTCTCATCTTTAAAATGAATCACATTCCTTCATCTCCTTTTATGCAAAGCTGGGGGATAAGGTCCTGAATCTTGGAATAAACATACCTTAGACCATAAGAAGGACTCCCATTCTGTAATGATAAGATGATTGAGATGTACTGTAAGATGTTAGATCATTAATAATCATGTTAATATAAGAGTTTATCAAAACTAATTCTTATTAGGAATCCCCAAATACAACCAGGATTGAAGTCAATTGGTCAGTCACTGCTGTTAGAATGATCCAAATCATTTCATGTAGTGTGATTTTTAGAAGCTGGCATCAGCTTGGCTGGGCTACCGCAGACACTATATTAACAGTAGTCTGGAGATGATCTATCAGTATTGATATGAAATTGAGGTCTAGGAAGAGATGTGCAGAGACAGAGCTTCTGCTTTCTCTCGTTGATTTCCAAAAATCATGTGTGAGATGCATATCCCAACCTTCACAAACAAAGAGTCTGAGGTGCCCAAACTCTTTGAACAATTATCCATCCCACATTGATAAAAATTCAGATGAAAGTCAAAGATTAAGAAATTGTGCCAGGTTGCTGGAGATTGGCGCTTGGTACAAAAGAAAAAAGTTACTAAAAACGCTTTTGCTTCCGTGTGGAATCTCACTTTGGGGGATTCTTCTTTGCATTGCCTCTTTTTCTTGTAGTAGGATAGTGGTACTGTCAGTTGCTTGGGAAAAGTTGCCCTCCGAGCTGCTAGGTGATGAGACCTTGTGAATGACATTCCAAGAGGCTGAGGATGGGGAAACTGTCAACTCTCCCCTCTCTCCAGCTCTAGTCTGGGTAACAGAGTCTCCAGACAATGCACAGTGCAACTCATTTCCAACATAAGAAGCTACATGAAGTTTAGGCCAAAACCCCTGCTAGTAATAGAGTGTTAATTTTCCTGGTGGGTCCCATCTGCTTGCCTCCCTGAGGACCTGCAAAAATGGGAGGCAGATGGTGGAGGATTCAGGGTTTTAGGATCCTAGCTATTTCTTCCTCTTTTACTAGAGATAATACCAACACCTACGATGTGCCTGGCCCTGGGCTCAGCTGTATAAAGATGGAGAAATATCAAGGCAAAAACATGAGAGTTATCATCATTTGGGCATTCCTCTTTTACTAGAGATAATACCAACACCTACGATGTGCCTGGCCCTGGGCTCAGCTGTATCAAGATGGAGAAATATCAAGGCAAAAACATGAGAGTTATCATCATTTGGGCACGATTCCCGAAAGGCTAGGCTCTGTTCAGAACTCCGACATCCCATAGCTCAGGAGGCACAGCTGCAGCAGAGGGTGGGTGCTCACCACCTTTTAGAATGTGACTGACACCCTGTGGACTGCAGCAAAAACCTTACTACTACACAGAAAGCCACAGCAACTTAATCTCTGTCTGACATGCTTGCTGCTTTGCCAGGAGAGAAAAAAAGAGACTTCAGTCAACTGAAGAACATTCCTAGGTTGCAAAAGAGGACAACTTTTTTTAAAGAAATTGTTTTACTAGAAAAGTAGATTTCTATCTTCTCTCCATCCACTATTCTTCCGTGAATTTATCAGATTCTTATAGGGGGTGATTTTCTGGCTATCAATGAGCACAGTATATTTATATTCTTGCATCAAGACAGCTTGTCCAGCTCTCTATAAGAGAGACTTAAAATAACACAGAGCGAGCTCATTATAAGCAAGATAAAGTGTGGAGTGATAGTCAGCATTTCGGAGAAATTCCAGGGAGAAAAAAAATTGGCAACGAGGTAGAAAAACAACCTGACAGTACAGAGTATTTCTATCCCTTACCCAACCTCTCACCTCAGCTCTCTTCCTATGAGCAATTCCTGCTGCGCCCACCTTCCCATATGAGGAGGAAACACTAAATTCAGTAAAAGTGCCATTCTTTAAGCACCCAACATCGTAGATGTGCTAATAAATGCTGTCCTTGTTACTTTGAATCATTTTCCCAGGGCGTTTGTCATTTTTGCACTGAGACATCCTGACAGCCACTTGGCACTTGCATTTTGTCATGCTGTAATAGAGTACATTTCCATTGCATTCAATATTTTTTCACTCCAATTACATGCAGCGAATCAAACCCTTGCTACAGTGAAATTTGTTGGGAGCCCTCCCCAGAGCCAAGATCCACTGGAGAACCCTGGTCTGATCATTGCCTGTGGGTCTGTACAGTGCCTTCCTCTCAACTTGAAGAGAAGCTAATTTAGTTTGTTCTTCTATTTGAGAGTGAACCAAATCATTTGCATTGTAAATAAAACCATTTCTTGTCTTTATTTCTATCATTTTTGATTGCTTTTGGCTGCTTAACTTGGATAATTTAATCATAGGCCATATGAAAGAAAAAAGATTTTAAATAAGTTTACGAATGAGCGCAAAGCACATCAATGGCAGTAACAGATGACTAAAGTCTCTCTGATATCAGACTTTGTGAGCATCAAATGACACTTGAGTTAACATCACTGCTTCTAGAGGTCATAGGAAAATGGGAATAGTGGCCTCTTGAAATATGGCCTCTGTGTTAAATTCAGGCTTGCAATGACATGTTTGTTTCAGCACTTCAGTGAGACCCTGGTGTTGTATTAGTGGTGGGAAAAAAAAGCATATCCTCTGCAGCCCAGCCCTGGGCTGCCCCACTGAGCCTACAATCCCAGAGAAAGCAGAACAAATCCCAAGTGGCATTTGTTTTCTGCAATGAGCACTATGGGATAGAGAATGGAAGGAAGTTTTCATAAGTACCACTGAACCTTGAAACATGCAGGCAGTAGGGGTGCCAACCCCTTGCATAGTCAAAAATCCATGTGTAGCTTTTGATTTCCCAGAAACTTAACTACTAATAGCCTACTCCTCATGGAAAGCATTACAGATAACAAAGAGTTAACACATATTTTGTATGTTATATACACATATAAATATATATTATATACTGTATTCTTACAATAAAGTAAACTGGAGAAAAGAAAATGTTATTAAGAAATTGTAAGGAAGAGAAAATTCTCATACATTTTAAAAATATTTAAACACATGGAAAAAAATTTGCATCCAAGTGGACCTGAACAATTCAAACCCACGTTGTCCAAGCGTCAACTGTATTTGCCTTTTTGCTACAATTCAATAACTTTGAGACAGCAGCCATTCCCCAGAATAGTGAAAAGGAAATGAACATAAAATAACCACAAAGCATATTTTCAAACCCGAATTAATTCTGTTGTACTTGGTGATTATTGATGAGATATTCCCAGGAACTACAATTATTTCTCCAGATGATGGTACTTGAAGATGGGGCCTGCCAGAGTCACACGAAGGTCTCAGAGATGCCAAGAAGTTTCTTGTAAAGGTTTTCATTCCTTGCTGGCTTCGTGGTCCTGGCAATGGCTGTGAGCGGCAGGTGCGGGGTCGCACGTCCTGTTCAGAGCAGTGTGGAGGTTCTTATCCCACTTACGGATAATGTGAAAAATCTCAAGGAGAGTATCCTGGGGATATGCAGAGTCGAAGCCAGCCTCAGCTGGCTCCTTGCACAGAGACCAATTGCATACACCCCTGGGAGGCTGTCTTTCCTGGGAAGGGCAAGCAATCCAGGCACAGCTGGCTCTGGACAGGACTTAGGGCCATGCCCTCTGTATCCACTAGGGGACTACTGGTCTAATCCTGGCATCTAGTGGCCAGCTAAATCCACCCTGCCTCAACTCCCTCGCCCCTTTCGTTCTGATCACCTTCCTCTTAGAACAGTTTATCCTCCTATTTCTCTGAGCTGCCTCTTTTCTTACTCAACCTTCTACAGTTTTCTTCTCTTCCTAGCCTTTCTTAAGTCCTCCCTGGAACTCCACACCCATGGTTACCTAATTATCTTAATGCCATGATCATTCCTTTCACCTTTGAACCTTTACTAAATGGTCCCACTTCCCTGGAGATTCCACACCTCTAGAAAGTTTCTCCAAGTGGGAGGTTCACAGTCCTATGCCCCACATGCCACGTGTTTGGGAGGCTGGGTCAGCAAGCTCCTCATTCCAACCACTTCTTCCAGACTCCTGCTTCTTGTTCCTCATGCAAACAACCTCTGCTTCTTTGCAGCTCACACCAAGCATTCGCACAGCCTGGAACACCACTGCCACTTGAGACTTCAGGCTGCTGGGATCACTGCTGCATGCTTATCTTGTGAATATGCTGAATGTTGCATAGATCTGGAGTTCTATTTGTTTAGAAATAAAATTCTTAACCTTTATTGACGACCACACTATTTTTCTGACCCCTCCACACATACACTCCTCTCCTGCTCCTTGTTTTAGCCACCCCTATGAGTTTACCCATCACTGCGCTCAACCCCTCCTTCCCACAAGCCATCTAGTCTGTCTCTTTCCAATTTGTTAAGTCTCTGTTCAAGTCCTACCTTTTTCATGAAATGTCTTTACGTATACAAGCCCAAAGTGGTT